AATTGACACAAATAATCGTTGCTCATGGCACAACGTTCTATACCGGATGTCAGGGTGAGCAGCTGAGCGCCGTGGTGAGTTTTCACCCAAACCTGCATATTTTATCATAGAATCAGTCGCATTCAGGATACTTCTATCTCTGAGCCAGAAGGACAATACGTACGAATGTCAGTTAGCTGGGATCACTCAATGATCGCCCTGTATCATTCATCTAGTTTGATACAGGTATCTTCAACCTGTCTCTTTAGATTGTGTTTTATTTTTCCCCACGAACTGCTTCGTTTTGAACCAATTATACCAAGTTTGCTGAATTTTTTAAAATTTCGATGAATGGCCCTTATAGGTTATCACTGCTGATTTATCCAAGCAAATATCGCGGATTGAAGTACCTGGTGAAAATTCCATATATCGCCTTGGATGGGTAGGATTGGAAGCTCTGTTTCTGCAGCAAACTCCACTAATAGTGCAATTCTTTAACGTCCACGACGAGAATGCTCATTATGGGTAAGTCAACAATAATATTTTCCCATTATTCACCATTATTTACTAAGCTCTAGCCTCCATACGGAATTTGTTCAAATTGGCTCAGAGCCTGATGGTGTCAAACTTTACTCGGATACAGGAATGGAGTTTGTCTGCCCAGTATCACGTACGTTAATCGTATGTCTTGTTTCGCTTGCTGCTGAGGTAAACTCCATGTATAGGTGATGAGAAAGCAGTGCTTGGCGTAGCATCGGCGTCAGACGGTGCTTTGTTGTATGAGGCAGCCCAGTGGCTCAACACCAACAAGAGCCACCAGTCGTATGAATACATCATGCAGGTGGTTTTTTGCTTAAATCTTCTCGAAATTGATTAGTTTGTTAACATTAGCATTTTCAAGTCCCCCCTCAATAGTACAGTTTCCTTCTAGATTCAAGACTTATCTCTGGCTATCGATCAATGCATCTCTACAGCCACGTCAGTATGGTCATCGGATATGCAGAAAGCGCTGCTTAAGGTAGTTCTTGCTTATTCCTCATTACATTCTTTATCGAATTCATTTCCTCATTTTTTAGGCCGCCCATTTTGGTGTGGCATTTTCAACTGGGTTTGATTCATCTCGGTTTGTTCGTGTTCTTCGTGAGTTACGAGTTCTGAATGAGGTGCGGCGCAACCGCATAGGGATGCCGATAACGTGCACACAGTATGTTTTGGAAACGCCTATCTCATTTTTTTCCCGTTCTGCAAATGAAAATTTGATGTTCATTCTTCAGGCTGCACGAATTGGGAGAATCCTGCCTCATTAACCGCCTTATTGACATAGGCGCTTATGGCACAGCGGCTGAAATATGCAAATGGCTTCGCAGAGATGAACAAGAAGGAATTGATCGTGTATTGCTTGAATGGGTATGCCTTTGCCATATTGCCATAAATGGGTATCCATTATTGCTTTGCACGATCTCTATTTATTGGTAATGTCAAGAGTTTTACTGTTAAGGTGCGTCGTACAATTACTGAAGCAGCATCCTTACCCAACAAGTCGGATTTGGACATGGAAGCATTAGAAGAAAAAATTGCGAAGAAGTTGCTGAATTACCCTCATGTGTCACTAGCAGGTCACAACAGTTGTTTTGTTTTAGTACAGACTTGATGCAGAAGTCAAAAGATGTTTTTACGGAATAACTTTTACCTCTAAGTTTTGTTCTAGATGCTGCAAAACGGGCGATCGACGCAAAACTTCCAAAACTTGCACGGCTGTTGATAAAACGCGAGAAAGATGACTCCAAACAGGTATGTTTTCCCTTATTAAGTAACTATGGAGCCCCTCCGTGTAGCTTAAAGCTGCTACCTTGTAGTATTGAGTGCTCAAGATATCATTGCTGTACTCCCGCCTAATTTACCGAAGCTGGATTGCAAGTTAAACTAATTTTATTCTTTTTGACAGTACATTTTGTTTCTTTTGTGGCGCATAACACTGTTAAAACGCTCTCCTGCAAATCAAACTCGCAACATTGAAAAGGCTTAGTTACCAATAGATAAAAAGTTCTTATTTTTCTGGGTATTTACGGTACTTTTTGATATGTCGAATTTCTC